ATCTTCCCAAAGAACTCCTTATTCTTCAGAATTCTACAGTTGACGACATAATCTTGCAGCAGACCCAAGCGAAGAATGCAATCCAGTGTTTGATTTGGCTCTTTGGTGTTTTCACAATGATTGGCACATGAACAATGGAATGATGAACTTTGATTCTAGTAAAGCATGTATTCACCTTGAATATTATGATGTTCAATCTTCTTCACAGAAAATACGGCGCCTCCAATATATATGTTGGACGAATTAGGTTGTATGTGCCAAGTAAAAATCTCGAAAATAGAAAATTAGATTTCCCAGTATAATACGTCGCTCGAGCAAAGTGGCTTCTTCACTCGAGCGACAGTGGGACGAAAATCGAGCAAGGTAGTTTCTACTTCAGTCGCTCAAGCAACACTCCGGCAAGCAGCTAGCGAAAATTCGGCGTAAATTCTTCTTGTTCCAAATATATAACCCCAAACCCTAAGCTAACCTACCAACTATGAAACTTTACAATTTAGTCCCTAATTTTTTATAAATGTTCAAGTTGATCAATTTGTTCACAGAATCGCCAATGCAAAATATAAATCTAACAAAAAACAAAAGAATTAAGTCCCTTGTCATTCTTGAATTCAACACCTTTCTAGCCTTACTATAAAAAAATGAACTTACATTATTGACTTTAATGCGAGTAATTGGTTAAAATTTATAGCGTAAAATACCATATTATTGGTAGAGTTATATTTGAATTTGTAAAAATCTACCTTGGAACGACCCTTGCATATGCATACTTGCAAATAATTACAAGGGAAGACTTTGTTGAATTGAGCGAAACACAAAATGTCACAAAGTATCACAAGCTATGCATCAAATATTTTGATTGATAGCATTCAAAAAATCAGAAGGATCAACTTTGTAGATAATAACTAAAAAAATGAATTTACAAAACGCTTTTCAAGACCGCGTGAGTGATCCATTTTCACACTGAATGAAGATTTGCTACGTATTGAACTCCGTGGATGATAGAACGTAGAATATGGAACGTAACTAAATATCGACGAAAAATTAAAACAATTAAGAACTTAAATATATTGTTGTCAATTCTAATTGTTTACTTTTCACATTCTCGTTTTGAATTCATTGAAAAAAAAAAAGGACTGACTTTTCTAAAGGTCCTCTAGTGGATCTTTCTTTTTTGGTATATGGTTGCAAGATGAACAAGTTGCGGTTTGAAGGCCACACCTGCTAGTGAATATGCCGATATAGTTATAAATAAAATTAATGATTACAATTAGGTTAGATTTGAGAATGGACGTGTAAACTAAATTAAATTGCACGAGTGTAAAATAAACATAACTGATTTTGAAAAATTAGCACGTATCATTTATAAGTTTATGAATTAAAAAGAGCTATATTTTTTAATAAAATTCTATTGCTAAAATTATCTAATTAATTCAAGAATATATTTGCCTGCACACAGACATAAGTACTGTATCAAATTAAATTTATAATAAATAAACACAGTAATTAGTTATTTACTTATTTTACTACTTATAATTTAAAATTGGTTTCGGTTTCAATTCTCATAATTCACGTGGGACCTAAATGATCACCTACTTTGTTTGGGCTGGCCTTTCACTTTCCTTTTTTATCACTTACGAGTGCCTCCACATGTCTCACTTATTTCCTTTCATTGCTTCCTTTATATTTTCCTTTTCGCACATGTTTAATTATTAATAGGAGAATTTACAAAAATGGCCAATTCCATACTTGACAATTAAAAAGTGTCTAATTTTGATAACTCTTGCAAAAATGACCAAATTTGGTACCAAATTATCTGTTATACCCTCAATGAAAAATGAAGCATTTTTTTTTCAATTTCGAGCGAATTTCAAGAAGAACGAGTAGCTTCCATGAGAAACTACATTAATGATAGCTAATATTTAATGTATTCATTTGTATTTATTATCTATTAGGTATTGGCTAACAATGTTGGGAAAAAAATGAAGAAGATGAAGTAGAAAAGTCATTGATACTATAACATAATTATATGCTTCAATTTCATAAGAAAATCATATAATTTCATTTCGAAAAATTTAATCTTATCCGAATTTGCAGTTGATTAGACTTTCCACAATTCTCCGTAGAAGGTAATTTTTCTTTGATATCTTGTTTTGATTGATAAGTTGTGTTTAATAGTTGTTATTCTTGACATTTCATGACGTTCTCGACATTTTGAAAGCTGTTATCCACATTTGGATCATATTTATCTTGACACTTAACATTTCATTTGTTTAGAACAAGATTTCGTTCTGAACATAAGAGTTCTCTACATTTCATAATATTCTTGACATTTCATAAATATTTTATTTACCCACTTATAGGGAGAAGTGAGCATTTAGCCAATGTTTGGTCCGAATTAAAATCTGATTTTAATCAAAATCAAAGTTAAACAATTAATATTAACCACATCTTTCATGGGTCCCACAACTTTTCAACCACACATTTCAAAAACTTTTATCACAATCTACAAAAGATCTAATTTGAATCCCCCACCAAACACAATCTTAATGTATGATTGACATGTTGCTTTTTAAAATTAGTATATGCTATGTGTCAAGTTATTATTGAACAATACAATTTTTAATTATATAAATAATATTGACTTCATTGTGGAATTTAAAATTGTTAATCAGAGCATTTTGGTCTATATTATAATAAAATGGACACTGAAGAAATTTTGGACATTTTTGTAAATAACTAAAAGTGGACAATTTTTGCAGTTGTCTCTTAATAATTTAATATCACCTGAAATCTGAAAAGGCAATACCCCTAAGAGCTTCTTGAAAATCAATTATTCAATCTAGAGATCCCAACAAGGCTGTCAAAGATATTACTAAATTTGGGGGTCTCTTGGAAAGAAGAATTCGTAGAGATTTTCGTGGAACCCGAATTCAACATTTGCATTTTGGAATAGTATTTTGATAGAGATTATGTGATTAAAAAATAAGGAATTTTTTTACGTGTAATATTATTTTATTGAAAAGAGTAATGCTATTCAGTCCAACTGGAATTATAATCACAGTCTCTGAGACGTTAATGTAGCATTAAATGATAAGTAAAATTAAGTCATTTGATTTTATCTTTAATTTAACTTATCACCTAAGATCTGAAGCAATAATATCACTAGGTTAAATAACATTATTTTATTAAAAATTTTGTGATTTAAAATTTTAAAAATATATATATTTTTTGAAAATAAAGCAAGCTTAATATCGCGGTGAAATCTATAATAAGAGGAACAGCAAGAGAAGAAACCTCACTTTGCAGCCTTCTTCTCCTTCCTCTCCGTGCAGTCTTGTTACGCAAAGCTTAAAAATTTTAGTTACTCCACAGACTTTCTAAAGTAAGTATAATCTTTTCACCACGTGTTAATATGGCTATGTGTGTATTTTAATATGAATTCTTTTCTGTATGTTGTAGAATGGAAGGAGACACCAATGAAAAGCTTTTAAATGGAGCAGAAGAAGAAGAAGAAGAAGTTAAGCTCAAGGACAAAATATGGNAAGAAATATTGGATATTTTTGTAAATAACTATGTAAAAGTGGACATTCTTTACAATGTCCTCGTAATAATTTAATATCAGCTTAAATCCGAGAAGACAAGATCCCTAAGAACTTGTAAATCAATTATTCGATCTGGAGATCCCAACAAGGCTGTCAAAGACATTACTAATTTTGGGATCTCTTGCAAAGAAAAATTCGTAGAGATTTTCCTAGAACCCCAATTCAACATTTACATTTTGGAATAGTATTTTGATTGAGATTATGTAGTTAAAAAATAAGAATTTTTTTTTTAGTTTACGTGTAATATTATTTTATTGAAAAGAGTAATGCTATTGAGTCACGTTAAAATTATAATCCAAGTCTACGTGGCGTTAATTTAAATGATAAGTGAAATTAAGTCATTTAATTTCATCTTTAATTTATCATATTGTCTAACATCACGTAGATTGAAGTTATAATATCACTAGGTTAAATAACATTATTTTATTAAACAATTTGTGATTTAAAATAAAAAGAAAAAAATGTATTATTAAAGAATTTGAGATTTAAAATAAAAAGAAAAAAATATGTATTCTGAAAATAAACGTCATAAACGTGGCTTCGCTATGAAATATCTATAATAAGACGAACAGCAAAAGTAGAGACCTCACTTTGCAGCCTTCTTCTCATTCCTCTCTGTGCAGTTTTGTTACGCAAAGCTTAAAAATTTTAGTTATTCCACAAACTTTCTAAAGTATAATCTTCTTACTATGTGTTAATATGGCTATGTATGTATTTAAATGAATAATATGAATTCTTTTCCGTATGTTGTAGAATGGAAGGAGACACCAATGAAAAGCTTTTAAATGGAGCAGAAGAAGAAGAAGAAGAAGAAGAAGAAGAAGAAGATGTTAAGCTCAAGGACTAAATATGGAATGACTCCAAAAAAATGAGGATAGTGGACGGACCTGGTATTTTTCACCGAATTTCATCATTCGGAGTGTAAATTGTAGACCAACNAAAAAATGTGGATTGTGGCCGGACCTGGTATTTTTACCCGATTTTCATCATTCGGAGTAAGCGTCATTAGCCAGGCATTTGTTGGCCATATTGGCTCCACAGAACTTGCTGCCTATGCTCTGGTGTCTACTGTTCTGCTGAGGTTTGCCAATGGGATTGTGGTACGATACACCATCTACCTTAACTTATTCATTGTAGGTTTTTAATTTTTCTTTTTTTGGCTAAAGCAGAACAAGGATTACCTTCATGTACGTTTCTTGATTAAGAATTCAAGAAAAATAAATTTGATTTAGGTAACTAGAAAAAAATTTCTTTGATCTTGGAGATTCTTTGATTATTATTATTTCTCAAACCTTAATGCTACACGGTGTGTTTTTAATGATTCACAATTAAATTAGAGAAAAAATTCAATGAACCATAAATTTGAAATATGATAAACAGGTCAATGATTCAATGTTAAGTTTTATCAAACTAAAAATGTTTATGGCATTTGTTCAGTTTTCCTGTTTCTGATCTTGCTCAAGTGTATTAATCAATTGAGTGATGCCACACGCATACACATATTTGCCAGTTCGACTCCACATAAGAGGCTAGAGGAAAATCTTGCATAGAAGGAGAAATGACATCCGAGACGCAAGACTTTCTTTCTAATTAGTATATGTTATTTGCTAGAAATTTATATCAAATCATCAACTTTAGCACACACGTATACATCCGAAGTAGTGCTTATCATTTTGTCAAGAAACTGAATTATGAGATCTTGCATTTTTCTATTTCGATTTG